GGGGATATATGTTACAATGTTGAGAGACACGTCGGCAGTAAGAGTCGACTCGGTGAAACTGCCCACATCATGTTGGTCTGTTGGTTGGTGGGAGGTCTCTGACATCACCTCGTCCACACGAGGATTGCTAATATGTCGCCCAACAAATACGTACCAACATATCCACTACGATGTTCCTCAACAACTTAACAACTTGTTACCCAGCTTTTCAGTCTCAATGTTCCTACCGTGTTTTGTCACTGATGTGGAAGCAGCATAACGGACAAGGTGCACTTTCTATCTCATCTTCCCTTCTTTCTATGAATGACGTCCATGACCTGCTATGTGAAGTCTAGTAGCGAAGTGAATCTGGTTAGCATTGCAGGTCAAAAGCTCGTGGATGTTAAGTCAATGACCTCGTCCGAGGAGGAAGGGAAAGGGACGGAAGTGGAGGGAGAGAGTAAAGGGAGGGAATGAAAGAGAGAGAGAGAGAGAGAGAGAGAGAGAGAGAGAGAGAGAGAGAGAGAGAGAGAGAGAGAGAGAGAGAGAGAGAGGAGCGAGAGAGAGAGAGAGAGAGAGAGAGAGAGAGAGAGAGAGAGAGAGAGAGAGAGAGAGAGAGAGAGAGAGAGAGAGAAGGAGAGAGAGAGAGAGAGAGAGAGAGAGAGAGAGAGAGAGAGAGAGAGAGAGAGAGAGAGAGAGAGAGAGAGAGAGAGGAGACCGAGAGGAGAGAGTTGGAAGAGGAGAGGAGGACGAGAGAGAGAGAGAGGAGAGAGAGAGAGAGAGAGAGAGAGAGAGAGGAGAGAGAGAGAGAGAGAGAGAGAGAGAGTGGGACAAAAATGGAGGTGGGACGAGAGAATAAAAGGATGAAAAGAGAGTGGGAAGAGGGAGAGGGTTGTGGAGGGACGAGAGAGAGAGAGAGAGAGAGAGAGAAGAGAGAGAGAGAGAGAGAGAGAGAGAGAGAGAGAGAGAGAGAGAGAGAGAGAGAGAGAGAGAGAGAGAGAGAGAGAGAGAGAGAGAGAGAGAGAGAGAGAGAGAGAGAGAGAGAGAGAGAGAGAGAGAGAGAGAGAGAGAGACGAAATGGAGTGGAAATAAATCCAAGGAAGGGTTTTATTGCCCTCCAAGTTCTCACACTCAAATGCCGGAGGGTTTGCGTACAACCCGGACATGACATGCTGATCAGTAAACCCAATGGAGAATGAAATCTAGAAAAAAAAGAAAAAAAAATCCAATGATGATTTTACAGAAAATTGAAAGTAATAGAATGATTGTTTGGAAGTCACCATGACGAGTTGAAGCCGAGGGAAAGGCTGTGAAAAATGGCAGGTGACTTTTGCATATTTCCCATAATCATGCTATTTTATTTGTTTGTTGCTTCGGAATGCGCTTCTTGAGTTATTTATTTTCGCAGAATTAAAGAAAATAAATGGAAGTAGATTCTACGGTTGCCGATAAGTATTGAATTTTCCCCAATAAACTACTTTGAATATTTCGCAATAGAGCTGAAATTCCTAAATACGGAAATTGAGGTTGGTCGCCATTTAACTAGAATAAAGAAAAAGCAGACACTGAGCATGGATCTTGGGTAAATTCAGAGATAACGACCAAGTCCGCATGAAAAGTACTCGGGTTGTTGGCAACAAGTACAATGTAGTCAGTTTTCTTTTTTTTGTGTGTGTATGTTTGTGTGCGTGCGTGTGTGCGTGCGTGTGGGTGTGTGCTTCTCTTAAATGAATGACTAGATTGCCAAACCATCGCGAGTCTCAGGAAAATTTGAATATGCTGTCAAAAAAAAAAAAAAAAAAAAAAAAAGACAGCGACCGATTCACAAAGACCAAATAACGAATTTGTCGGAATATTGGTAATTAAGTAATTTGTACTCGAGAGGTTTTGGATTTGTTGGTAATAGAATTACTCGACTGGCGAATTAAAAGCGATTTACTACCATTCGCGGTGGATCTGCAGCCTCTTGTTTAGGATTCAGTAAAGTTCGAATTTCGTTGTAGGCTTTTCCTGGATTTTCCTGGATTTCAGTTTGGTTAATTAACGCTTTTTATATTTACAAGCCATTTGCTTTTTTTCTATTTTCATTACTTAGGATTGTAGTGCTTTGATAAGGGAGAGAGAGAGAGAGGAGGGAGGGAGGAGAGGGGGAGGAGAGAGAGAGAGAGAGAGAGAGAGAGAGAGAGAGAGAGAGAGAGAGAGAGAGGAGAGAGAGAGAGAGAGAGAGAGAGAGAGAGAGAGAGAGAGAGAGAGACGAGAGAGAGAGAGAGAGAGAGAGAGAGAGAGAGAGAGAGAGAGGAATGGGAGAGAGAGGGAGAGATAGAGAAAGAGAGACAATATATATATATATATATATATATATATATATAGAGAGAGAGAGAGAGAGAGAGAGAGAGAGACAGACAGACAGACAGAGACAGACAGACAGACAGACAGAGAGAGAAGAGAGACAGAAGGGGAATAGTGAACATCGTAGGGAATAGGGAGGGGAGATCGCCAAACACCACAAGTGCTTGCTGAACACCTCAGGGCGATGGTAGGGAGTAAGGAGAATGCTGAACACTTCAGGAAAGAGAGCGTGTGTGTGTGTGTGGGGGGGAGGAAAAAGTAAATTGCTGAACACTACAGAAAAGGGAGGAGAAAAAAGACAGGTGATACTGAAACCCACAGAGAAGGAAGAGGGAGAGGAGGAGGAAGCAGAGCATCAAATATGAGGAAGAGGAAAAGCCAAGGGTGCACAGGGGATAGGGGGAGGGGCAGAGAGAAGGAAAAAAGTCACTGACCAGAGGACGTAGTGGCAGTGTGTCCTTGACCTCTGGTTAGGGAGGACTGAAGAACCCTTGATTGTTCTTGCTCACTTTGTTATTTTTTTTCTTTTTTATGCGAATTGTGTTATTCATTATTTTTCTTTGATTCATTTGATATATATATTTATTCGGTTCTGCTTTAAAGCGAGAAAATATAAAATGAAGGAAAAGATCATGACATTTCTACTGTTTTGGTAAGTATTTTACTTCCATTATTCTCATCATTTGTAAATATGTTTTTCCTTTTTTTTTTTGCATGAAATTACTGTTTATAAGAGTGCGTCGTTTGCAATGGATGACCTGACAAGCTTGTTATTCTCTAACCGCTAACCTGAGCTCTTTATCTCTTGAAATGGCAGTACTGCGAAAATTAGAAATGTAAATAATTCATGTGACTTGTTCTTGTCTACCGTCTTATCTGTGATGTTCTTGATAATCATTTTCTCTGTCATAAAAGTTTCTAGTTCCGTGTATTGTTATTTTTTTCTTTGTTCTCTCGTGTACCTGTTTTCTTATTTAGTTTCTTAAATTATACATTGTGTATTGGAAATAATGTATTTACACAAAAATATATATTTACAGGTGTCATTTCATAACCATTACGTGACAATCAAGATCTCCGTTTATATATAGGCAAGGTCTAAATAAGTATAGACCTTGTATGTAGGCAGAACAAATATTATTGTAATCATTACCTTATCGCTACCATAGTCATCACCATCACTATATTATCTCGACAATAACATCAAAGCCAGCAAATAATCATCTTTATCATCATTTAATCATCAAAGCGTCCGTATTTCAGGGCCGTTGTGGGGAGCGCACGTCCTCCCCACCCTCCTCTCCCTCGACTTCCTTCGCTCAGCCAACAATATCACGATGTGTGAGTAGTATTTAATGCATTTTTGTTCCAGAGTTGTTATCACTATTGCAATAGATGTGGAGATGCGCGTTATTTAGCTGTAAGTGTGGTATGGATACTGTTTTTTTATACTTATTTCATGTCCGTTCTTCCACATGGCTAAACAGTCATTCGTGCGTGCATGTTTTCTCGTATATTTTAGTGTGTAACTGTCTATTGTCTCTCCTTGGTATCGTTATGCTGATACAAATGATGGATTCGTGATGTGTAAGGATGTCGTTAGATAGATGGCTAGTTAAACATAAACAGACATAACAGATTGATTAAGTCAAATAGACAGACCAAACGATAGATAGGTAGATGAAATGGATATAGACAGGTAATGAGAAGCATGATAAATATATAAAAGATGATCGTCTGTTTTATTCTTAAAATAACAAAACCGCCAATTTTACCTTTTGTTGTTTGTTCTTACATAAAAAAGATCCATGACTTTCACCCCACTTGTTAATTCCAGGGTACTGTACCTTTCACTTTCTCCTGACAATTGTATCTATTTGTATTTCTTACCTGCAGTTTCAAGGCTATTGTCTCTCTTCGGCATAAAGTGAAAACAATTAACTAGAGTAATAGGAAACCGAGGAAAATATTTTCGGAATTTATGATGTAGGTTATGAGCTGTAAATTATATATCTGTAATGCATGTTATATATTATGTTATTTTGTCTGACCTATTAGATATTGCCTTTTAAACGCCCCACAATTATCCTATTACGTAATGTCTTTCTCAAATGTAGGGTATTTCCTCATATTCTCTCTCATCCGCCTCTTCACTTTTACAATGCTATGCAAAAGTGAAAAGTGTGAGTGTGAGTGTGTGTTAGTGTAAGTGTTAGTGTAAGTGTTAGTGTAAGTGTAAGTGTAAGTGTAAGTGTAAGTGTAAGTGTAAGTGTAAGTGTAAGTGTAAGTGTAAGTTCGTGTAGTGTAAGTGTTAGTGTTAGTAAGTGTTAGTGTGTGTTAGTGTAGTGTAAGTGTGTAAGTGTTAGTGTAAGTGTGTAGTGTAAGTGTTAGTGTAGTGTAAGTGTGTAAGTGTAAGTGTGTGTTAGTGTAGTGTAAGTGTTAGTGTAAGTGTTAGTGTAAGTGTAGTGTGTGTTAGTGTTGTGTGTTAGTGTTAGTGTAAGTGTTAGTGTGTGTTAGTGTAAGTGTAAGTGTAAGTGTAGTGTTAGTGTAGTGTAAGTGTAGTGTTGTAAGTGTTAGTGTTAGTGTTAGTGTTAGTGTTAGTGTTAGTGTTAGTGTTAGTGTTAGTGTTAGTGTTAGTGTTAGTGTTAGTGTTAGTGTGTGTTAGTGTAAGTGTAAGTGTAAGTGTAAGCAGTGTTAGTGTTAGTTAGTGTTAGTGTTAGTGTTAGTGTTAGTGTTAGTGTTAGTGTTAGTGTTAGTGTTAGTGTGAGTGTGGTGCTGTAAGTGTGATTGTGTGTGCTCTTTTCTGTCACATTTTTTTTTCCAATAAAGAAAAAAAACGCAGCGCACATTCCCCTTACATCCCCCCGTTTCGATTACTCCTTCTCACCAATGTTTATATTCCCCAAAATTATCCTATTTCCCTTTTCTCTCTCTGTCCCAGCGCTGAATATCCTTTCTCCAAGATCGTGGGCGTGTTTCGCATCGTGGACGGCGACTCCTGCAGGTGTGTTCCTCGGTCCCGCCCTTGTCCTGTCGAGATCATGGAGGATTCGGTCTACAAGGAGAGGGTGAGACACAAGTGGTTCGTTAATGGTTCGTTCACGTGATTCGGGTCTTGGGTTCACGCTCGTATGCGTGTTTGGTTCGTGTTCGCAAAGTTTTTTGGGGGGGGATATTCACTTTCGCGGTTGATTTTCGATTCACTTTCGGTTCTTGAAAAAGAGAGAGTGTGAGAGTGAGAATGAGTGTGAGTATGAGAGTGAGAGCGAGTGAGAAAGTGAGAGAGAGCGAGTGAGAAAGTGAGAAAGTGATGAGAAAGTGAGATGAGAAAGTGAGTGAGCGAGTGAGTGAGAAAGTGAGTGGGCGAGTGAATGAGAAAGTGAGAGAGAGCGAGTGAGAAAGTGAGTGAGCGAGTGAGTGAGAAAGTGAGTGAGCGAGTGAATGAGAAAGTGAGAGAGAACGAGTGAGAAAGTGAGTGAGCGAATGAGTGAGAAAGTGAGTGAGTGAGTGAGAACGTGAGTGAGTGAGTGAGTGAGTGAGTGAGTGAGTGAGTGAGTGAGTGAGTGAGTGAGTGAGTGAGTGAGTGAGTGAGTGAGTGAGTGAGTGAGTGAGTGAGAGAGAGAGAGAGAGAGAGAGAGAGAGAGAGAGAGAGAGAGAGAGAGAGAGAGAGAGAGAGAGAGAGAGAGAGAATGAATGAATGAATGAATGAGCAGTTCTTCAAGAGCACAAAGTAGCTACAAATTTCTTTAGTTGCACCAATCTGTCTTTTCATGATATAATATGAAGCCGACCTGCAAACAGACGGTATCGTCCCAAATATTGAAGTATCCCCTTCAACCAACTTTTATTCTTTATTCATTATTTTTTAAAGAATTTAACTAAGTCTGTAAATCCAATTCATAATGAAAACAATGCCGCACTTACTATCTGTATGGTAACATTATTTCTTTTAATTGTGAGTTACATTTTAAAAAACCCGCTCTTATTCTATAACCCTGCAGCCACATCAGATATACCAGTCTTTCTCTACGAGTGTTAGGGATTTATATGAAAAAATAACAGTATTACGAATATAAACATGACTATCATTACTGTTATAGTTATCATTATATGTGTGTATTTTTGTTAAATGTATGTATATGTAGACGTATACCGTATGTAACCATATAATAAATTCAAAGTGAGGACGCTTTCTCGCGAATAGTTTGTAAACACAGAGATAATGATCACAACTCAGATATTCATATTTAAAAAAATTCTCCCTTCACCGCAGGGATTCCCTTGCCCTTTCCTGACGAGGTACTGCTGTCAGCGGGAGACGCTCATCGACATGTCAGGGGCGATCGACAGGACACTAAAGTCAACCGACCACCAGAACCGAAACTCGCCTCATCTGGTCGCTTCGGATACGAGAATATCGACCGGGAAGAGAAATACTAATAGCAAACAAGTCGTTTCGCCAACGATAGACGTGTCAAAACCGCTAGTTCCAAACGTTGGAATTGTATCTAACGTTTCCAGCGTTATGAACGTTCCAAATGCTTCAGGCGTTTCCAGTGTTTTAGAAGTTACGCAGGTTTCAGTCGTCCCCAATACTTCAGAGGTTTCGGAAGCTTCAGAAACCTCGACGGTGATTCCAACCCATTCCACCGCCGAGAAAAAGGGCTCGAGAAACAGCGGGCGCCGAGCGAGACCGAAGGCTTGCTCGTGCACGACCCGCGACCAGTGCCTCGCTTGGTGGTCAGACCTGGACGACCCCCCCGAGGTCAAGGTGAGGACGAGCCTGAGCTGCGACGTGCCAGGTCAGGTCACGTGCTGCTTCGGTCGTATCGTGCCCCCACGCCACCATAAATCACGTGACCCGACGCGCTCCGGACACAGCGTGCGACACCCGATGAAGGCGACACGATGGCGGCCGCTTGCGAACACGTGGAAACATTTTATTTCGTGGTTTAACGGATGAACGAAGGCGATAGTGAAGACTAGGAGAATTTCCTTGTTATAATTTCTATACTTGTCTTTTTGTCTTGTAATCTGTAGGAACTGACTTGAAACTAGTGTATAATTATGAATGGTGACATTCTCCGTTTACGAATTTCAGAACGTGACTAGACCTCTTATGTCGATATTTTGATTCATGAGTTTTATAACATTATGGAAAAGAATCGAGGGCATTTCTTGGACGCTAACAAATGAAATTTGTTGACGTGGCCTCTGTTTCTTTTTAAGCGTGCGTGCGTCCGTGCATGTGTGTGGGTGCGTGCGTGCGTGCGTGTGTGTGTATGTATGTGTGCGTGCATGTGTGTGGGTGCGTGCGTGCATGTGTGTGGGTGCGTGCGTGCGCGTGTGTGTGTATGTGTGCGTACGTGTGTGTGTATGTATGTGTGCGTGCGTGTGTATGTATGTGTGCGTGCGTGCGTGTGTGTGTGTGTGTGGAGTAAAAATATAAATGTTTCGAGTATGACAGCGCGAGAGGGAACTAAATCTACAAAAATGACAAATATATTTGAAGTGAAAGGTACATACAATGTAGTCAAGAATAGATACACGAATAACAATAACACATTCCTGTGCTTGTTTCTGCCCATTTAATAGACAGTTATGTGAGGATGAAACTGTACTTGAATATATTCTGGACAGAGATGTTCTTTTAATATTTCAGCGCGATGATCAGCCCATATTCTCTGTTCAAGAAGGTTATGACAAAATTAAAAGAACAAGTAAGTGAGTAGGAACAAAGGAAATGAAAGAATACCAGAGTAAGAAAAAAATATCAGCTGTAGTTCCTGTTTGATAAAAAAAATCTTCAATGCCTTTGAATGATGTAAAAAGCCTAAAAATACAAAGGAAACCAAAAAAAATTGTACACGCATTTTTTTATTTTCAAATATTCAGAAAAAAAACATTGCATCCCTAATATCAACAACAACAAAAAATAGAAAGAAAAGTTCAAATGACAATAATAAAATAGTCTAAATAACAGTTCCAGAAAAACAAATATTTCTGAATTTACGTTCAAGCACTCGGTTTGTATTTTATTGAGAATGATAAGCAAAAGAACATCACTTGCTTTCAAAACAATTACTTTTATAAAATTCAACAGACACATGTATTTACAGTGATTTTGCATTAACTATATTATTCACAGAAGTCTCTTATAAATAACATATAAGAATATAAACTAAATCTTCCACCCCAGACACCCAGTACTTTAATAAATTCTTTTGTAGCCACAGCGGTTCTGGGTGTGAAACATATGATCATATAATTTTGTGGCATCTACACATCTACAAAAAATATAAGGTTTAATTAGTCTTTAAGGAAGTACCAAGAATACAAGCATTTCTAGCTCTATGACTGATAGTTTTAAGATCTTATTTATATTTAATAATGAAGTGCAAGAATAAATAAATAAAAAAAATCTCTAGGAATTCACATTTACCTCCCCCCACCCCCAACCTTATAAATACATGAATAATAGTCATGCTAGTAATATATACAATTTTACCATCTTTTCTTTTTACTAAGATGGCCACCCTTCTTTTTGTGGAATTTCTTGACTTTGGGCTTGAAGTTGGTAGGAGCAGCAGCAGCAGCAGCAGGGGGTATTTTTCCTGACACTACCTGGACACTGTCATCGTCTTCAAGGTGCACGTTGCTCAGGGCTTTAGTTGCTACTTCTGTCTCCATATCCTCATCCGTTGGCATACCCATGCGAGGGCAGAACTGTGTACGCACTGAACAGGAAAAAAGGGAAAAATGCTTTTATTTGTTTCTTAGTTCAGGTAACTAAGGGAAGGTGTAGAGAATATTTGTGGTGCGGTTGTGTGTGGATGCCATGTGGATAGGGGACAGAAGGGAAACTGATGAGGTATATATCCATTACACAAACAAACACAAAAAAGTCCCTCCCCCTATTAATAAAAAAGCAAAAACAATTACTAAACTCACCTTTAAGAGAGTTCCTGATATCCCAAACCTTAAAGTTGTTTTCCTTGTTGTCCCCGCCCATACAGAAAACAAAGGGCCAGTCAGGGCAGGCTGAGAGGCACTGGATCACGCCCAAGTTCATCTTCAGCTCTTCTATGAGGGCCGGCTTGTCCGAGGCCACGTCCCACACCTTGACTGTCTCATCCATGGAGGCAGTCACCAGGCATCCAGGACAGGTGGGGCTCATGCTCAATGCTGTCAGAGGGGAGAAAGAAGAATGTAATGGATTAGGAGAGAGTGTGAGGAGGAAAAAAAAAAGTGGTGGGAATGGAGGAAGGAGGTGGTCTAGGAGGGAAAAAAAAGTGGAAGGAAGGATAGGGAGGGAGGAGGGAGGACTTGGTGGAGTAGGAGGGAAGGAGGAGGAGGACTTGGTAAGTAGGACTGGTGGAGTAGGAGGGAAGGAGGAGGAGGACTTGGTGGAGTAGGAGGGAAGGAGGAGGAGGACTTGGTGGAGTAGGAGGGAAGGAGGAGGAGGACTTGGTGGAGTAGGAGGGAGGAGGAGGAGGACTTGGTGGAGTAGGAGGGAAGGAGGTTGGTGGAGTAGGAGGAAGGAGGAGGAGGACTTGGTGAGTAGGAGGGAAGGAGAGGAGGACTTGGTGGAGTAGGAGGGAAGGAGGAGGAGGACTTGGTGGAGTAGGAGGAAGGAGGAGGAGGACTTGGTGGAGGAGGAAGGAGGAGGAGG